GCGTTGTGCCTGACTGAAAATGCAATGTTCAGCAACTTATGTTTAGGTCTTCCGTATAGCCTCTGATGACACATACTAACAATAATGCTTCATGTGATAAGTTACTAGAGAAGTCCAAAATATGGAGCCAGAATATCGAGAACTAATTAAGTTTTTGTTACGGTTTTTGTAGTTATATTATTAATACTACAAATCACGAGAGCAGTTAATATTTCATCATTTTTCTAGGTCATTGCATATTAAATGTACTGCCTGCTTTTCATTGGGTAATTACGTACTTCTTTTTGTATTGTCTTAATCTTTTTGCAGAACAATATCAAACTGGACGAATTTGGTTTGCCTCAGATTTCGTGAATCACACTTACCTTGATCGCTGGCACAACACATATCTTGATTTATTTCAGAAGTGTTTTGTTCTCCAACAGAACATTATCTTCACTCTTACTTCTAATAATATCTTATCTGCAATGATTTTTTAATTTCTTTTGTCAGTGGACGAATTTGTCACACAATGTTTCATCATTCACTAACATTGTAGTATTCTAAGGTTATTAGTAATAGAACTTTGTCAGAGAGGGACAAGCGAGTGTCGATAAACCTTCATTTAGACCCATCGTATCCTCATAATATGTTTCGTTTATATTCACTCAATCCAGTTCATCTTTCAATAACTGAATTGATACAATGCACATTAGATGTTTTGAAATTTTCTCAAAGTCGAAGTAATTCAAACTATTTATGAATAATGTTGAAATGAAATTACTTCAAATCAGAATGCAAGCCTATTTGATTGAATAGACCCCATTTTAATTAGGACTGAGGGACTACGTGAAAATTTGTAACATAAGGAAGTGTTACCTGAGATTTTATTATATGTACTTCTAATCCCTATTTGGTTAACAACTGGGTTATAGTAAATTTTACACTATTTTAAGTGTAAGTTTCCATCCGTCCTATTGAGTATTAATGTATCTTTTGGCATTTATAAATTACCAGTAGTTAATTATAAATGTTCCAGTTATGTGCGTATTGAGATTTATTATTTACGCTGTGTTATGGTCTTATATTCTGTGTATGTGATCGAATGAGTTTAAAAGTATGAGTAGTACAAATAATACGAAATATTTGGTTCGTATTAACGCTGTTGTGGTGATTAGCAAACAAACAAGTGAAGAAGAGCATTAGAGCTAACGAGAAGAGATATGTGGAAGATCTAGCAACGACAGTGCACAAAGCTTCAACAGAAGGAAATATGAAACAAATATCCGACACAACGAAGAAACTAGCGGGGAAATATTGTAAACCATAGAGACCGGTCAAGGACAAAGAAGGCAAGACAATCACTGAGATTCAAGAACAGGTGGGGAGAGCACTTTGAGGAACTCGAAGCAACACACACAGACCTACCTATAGATGTCACTCTATTAATTATCAAAGAAATCAGGATGGCCATCAGACGAATCAAGAGTGGGAAAGCAGCAGGGTCTGACAGTATACCAGACTAGGCGGTGAGGTCAGAAACAGAGATACCTGCAAACATACTCTACGTTCTATTCAGAACGAGTTGAGAAAATCAACAAGTTCCGATAGACTGAAAAGAAGGATACCTCATCAAGATGCCAAGGAAAGATCTGGGCAAATGTGAGAACTGCAGAGGCATCACACTACTATCAGTACCAAGAAAGGTTTTCAATAATGTTGCTGAACTTGATGAAAGATTCAGTAGACGTTCAACTTCGAGATCAACAGGTTAGATTCCGTAAGTATATGTCGTGCACAGACCAAATCACGACACTATAGATCATTGTCGGACAGTCAGTTGAATGGAACACGTCAGTATACATCAACTTTCTTGAATATGAGAAAGCATTTGACAGTAGATAGGAGAACCCCATGTATCCTTTTCTCACACTATGATATACCTGAAAAGATCGTCAACATCATACGGAATTCATACGACCGACTACATTATTTAAAAAAATACAATCTAACAGTTGTCTGTGTTTGATTTATGAAACTTACGTCAGTTACTCGTGAAAGAGCATAGGCCGCTCACCAGCATTCTCCATCCAACCCTGTCCTGGGCAATCCTTTCCAGCTCCTTCCAGTTGTTATTCATCTTTTTCATGTCTGCTTCTATTTCCCGACATAATGTGTTCTTTGGCCTTCCACTTTTCCGCTTCCCTTCAGGAATCCATGTTGATGCCTGTCTTGTGATGCAGTTTGGCGATTAGCGTAATGTATGTCCTATCCATTTCCATCTTCTTTTCCTAATTTTTTAGCGAGTTAGTTTTCTACGGGATTGCGTCGCTAACCCCATGCCCAACTGTTGGGGTGATCCAGAAAATTGCTTGCAAAAGACAAGCAATCATCAAGAAACACTAAGAAGCGTTTCGTCCAATCAGCGTTCACTTGGAGTCTTGGCCAGAAATATCAGGGAAGCGAAACGTCACATGCAAAGGTTCTGATTGGTTGGCTGCTACACTGCTACTATGTTTAGTAGCATTCCAGAATATTCCAGCGACCTAAGGACATTTAAAATATTATAAAAACCCTATATTTTCTGTAATAAAATGAACCTTGGAGTAAACTACTTCTCGCATACCTTGAGTCTTCTCTCTCGTGTTCAGATCGCTGTCTAGTTCTAGCTTGGGGGTTACAGAATAGCTTAGGAGACGAATATAGCGTTCAAATCTGCAAGACTTATCACCAACCCTCGTTTGCCCGGGCTTGTGACTGGCAGTAACTCTAGAAGAACTACAGGCGGAGTGACTTAACATATTTCTTTTGGGTGCAAAGCGGATTTTTGGTTTATGAAAAGTATCCAGTAATTATGAAGTCAGTGATAATTGACTTGATTAACTTTTTTCTCACAATATTTCGCTCATCGTTTAAGCATAAATCTTGCTAATGAGATAGTATTAGCGCACCCAAGGTGTGAATTATACTCCAACACTTGTCACTAATTAGTAGGTAATACTGAAATCCATTTCATTGCTGATCGGAATTCATTTTAACTAATCTTTAGTTTGGCTCTACGGTATATCAATTTTTGTATACAAATGTCTTATATATTTATAGTTCAATTAATAATTTTGTATGTTTGTTTTGCTGAGAAGGCTCAATACATATATCTCTTCAGTAGCCTTTCTTTGAATTTCTAATATACTTGTGTGAAATTGTGTAGGATGTATTTGTTTGGTGACTACCAAACTTCATATATAAATCCCCAGACGACGATGAGAATCATAATATTTAAAAATAAAATACTACTAAAAAAGGAAATCGTATTTAAACTTCTGAAAGTAAAATCCTAGCTATGCGCAATTGATACAGAAAACTACGCTGATTTAATAATCTTACCGGGGAAGCTATCGTCCAAAACCTCTTATCAAGGGATGTACTCTTGTGAAGAGTGCTTATAGACAACTATAATTGTATTACAAATAATCGTTGGGCTATTCCAGTGCATATAAAAGCAATGATCGTTTGTTTGGGAACCAATCAAACACAATATTTAGTCCAATGAGTATGTGCGCAGAAGTTTATTTTACGTAATTTAAGGTATATCAGTCTTATAATTTCCACTTATGGGAATACGCCTATTCTACCTATTTTTCATTTGTTCAAAATGTTTCTGGAAATCCTGAGAAGTCAGCTGCTAACCCACTCCATGCTTTTCTCAACACCGAACGTTTTGTTGGAATCGTGTATACATATGACCATACAAGAATCCATTTATTTCCAATCATCCAAACAGTAAACCAGATGTTAAAAGGCATTAAAGTAAACTTTTCACCATCATATATCGATAGCTGCCTTTACCTTTATTCAGTACATTTCGTGGATTTGATGTTGGTGTACTTGCTTCAAGTAACAATTCCTCATTAAAACCAAATTTATCACTTTTCCTAAAGGCTTTGGAACTTAATTTTTATGTTTCTTCGTTTTTCGCTAGACTATAATTTTCACCATATCTAGTATAAATATTATTGCTTTCACTTCTCCCAAAATCGTATTGAGTTGCTCTTTTGAAAATCTACAAACAAAAAATAAAATATAAATACTCTTGACATCAGTGGTTCGGAAATGAATAGGAATCAACAGAGGGATCCGAACTTTGGTATTATATTATGAATTCTCCATAATTATATTTTGTCGGTCAGTGACAGCAACAAAGTATCTGGAGAAATATTATACAATATTCTCCTTTTGTTCATATACTTAGATGAAACACGAATGATCCCGGGTCACCCAATTATATTGTCTTCAACAATCGAGAGTAGAACCACATAGTTCATTAAAGACAGTTATTAACAATTTCAAATTTTGTAGATTTGTTGTCAGATGCGTGTACACTGACCAAAAGAGAGGTGAATTAAACACTGAAGTAATAATATCAAGGTAAAATCATGATAAGTGGTTCAGAAATTATCCACCAGATGTTTTTGATCTTCCATTTCCACTACCGTTTAAGAAAGCACAAGATGAAAGTTTGGGGGTCTAACATATCATCCGTACAAAGTTCTGAAATTGAGATGGCTGGTCCCTATTCCACAATGAAAATGCCCCCAATAGCTTTGTAAACAATCCCGATTGGGCTATTTAAATATATTGGGTTTCCGCTATTTTATCCGGAATGTGCTTACATTTACACCAAAGTGAAGTATACGAAATAGTTATTATGGGGCTATTTATAACACATTTCAAATAAGCAAAATGAACTATTTCAATTTTTCAGAGAGAATCTATTTTATTTCTAAATGCATCGATTACACGAGTAATAATTAGAAAAAGAAGTGAAAAATCCAACCTGAGGACATATTTTAAGATAAAACTTAACAGGTAGAAATCAGAAAAGGTGTAAAAAAATAAGTGAAAATATTGAATTACAGGGTATGTTCAAGTGCAAACACATACACAGGGTAGAAAATTTCATCAAAAATATACTTATCAATAGAAATATAACCCAGTAAAAACAAAAACATTAGGGAGAAATTTCATTTAACTCGTAAGTCCCTGAACATATTTAATAGTCCATTTTCAACATTGTGATTTCGATTATTTTCATCTGGAGTTCTAGACAACTGATACTTTTCTAGTTCACAAGGCATTTTAGTTACATTATTGGAAGAACAATGCGGCAGAAGACGTTTATCATATTGTGCAGCTAAACTGGGTCGAAGCATACGACCTTTAGGTGTATTAATGAGTAATTCAAACTTCGAACGACAATGACCACAAATCTATTAAAAGATAAGTACACTAGAATAAATGTTTAAATCACTATTTAATTGGTTTATATGCACTTACGAAACATTACAATATAATCGGATTTAGAGACTTTTCCATGCATTCTTAACTCACTTCATTTAATTAGATTTTAGCAGCTAGACACTATAGATCTTTATTGATGTCATAGTGAATAAAAGGATCATCAGAATATCTCAATAATTATGTTGCTAGGAAAATAGAAATCTGAAATTCGGATAGTTACTTTTTTGACCAATTAGTTTCTATATACCTTTGATGAGTGGCTACTAATTTTTTCGTGGAGTTGCTTTATAATAATTTATCTTTTATTATTCATAAACTACAGTCAATTGTGAATAATGCTAATCAGCTTCGCATCAGAAATATCCAACTTATGTACTTACTGAGATTTGAGGGTTTTAGTGCATTAAGGTTTTATCTTTTACTTGTTTAATCATGTGAGTTTTGCATTTGATTAGTTAAAGATACTGGTGACTACTCAACTGATCTTCTTGTGCTCTGATTATAGATTTATTAAAATAGGGTTTTGCATGGGAAATACGGTAATAAAGTTTGTGGCGTAGTGACGATCAGAACAGATATATACTACCATAAATGACAACGGTAAGATTTATATGGAACGAACGACAGTTAGTTAATCATAACGTAGAACCTGAACATATGTACATCGGTTCAAGTTGTCACCCCATCAGCATAGACAGATGAAACTACCAGGGCTAATCCCAGAGTAGTAGAGATAATGACAGTATAGGTTGTAGTGGATTAAGTAAAAGATTAGGAATCATATATATATATATATATATATATATATGAACAATGCATTAATGAGTTTGACAATGTTATATGTTAAAAATGGGGAACCTTCGCATTTGTTACGGACAAATACTTCAAAACTGTTCCATTTGCAAATTAGAAAGGTCAGAATGATTCGCTGTAAGGTATCAAGTTATAATCAGTATGACAAAAAAATCGTGTGAATAAAATGCAGAATACAAAAATGTCATCGGGTTAATGGAGATAATATTGGTAATAACATGTGAATATAATAAGTAACCAGAGTGTTCGCCACTTTTAACATTTAGCATTGTTTAATTCACTACCATACCTTATTTTGCCTTTGTAAAATAACACAACAATACAAAGACCCATGAGTAAAAATAATGTTGACAATATTTGGCAAGATTAATTTTAGACGATAAAAATACATAAACCGAAAATTGTATGTGTGGAGATTTTAGTTCTTTCTATCAAATTAACATGACTATTGACTTACTGGGCCCGAGTTTGACCAGGGTAAGAGAAGTAGGACGTATTTCTTCAGCATAAATAGCTTCAAGTTTTTATCAGGATAGCTAATGCTTTTGCCATTTTAAGGATGAGTGCGACAAACTATTGAGAATCATCAATCTGTGTTGGCACTATGACCAGTTTAAAGTGAATAAGCTACTGTTGAGCTGTTTACTGTCTTGGCTACACCTTTGGTAAGCTACGCTGGAAGTTGTTCACGGGCACGAAAGTGCGAATTCCTGTATCTACCTCCACATGAGCAGTCGAATCGATAAATGCAAAACGAGGTGTTCAGTTCAGATGATTCAACTTTCACTTTCAGTATTGCCATCGGAGAAGTGGAAACTATTATCTTGATTGTTTTACATAACCTCTAGATTGGTATCTCAATGGATGAATCGCCTTTGCATTGTAGGGGCATGAATAGGGACCTCTTATTCAAAGTATGTACATTTTTAATTTGGCATTCATAGTCACACATCTATTTATTAAATCGTAGAACCTTATAAAAATTTATCGGAAACAATATTCTTTATATATATATATATATTAGTATTATGTTTAAACAGTTGGGAAAAAGAATTATTTTGAAACTGAGGAAAAAAGAAGAATAGTCACTTAGGTTAAATGAGCAACCTAAGTAAACAAAAGGAACTTTGAATCACAAACAGTTTTGTATGGGAATCAGATGTTATTATGTCACTTGAACTATTGGTTTAGAGATCGTGAAGATGTGTAGCTCAGGTGGATGATTTTGATGGAGTTTTGTTCTCTGAGCTGCATGGTTTGGTCGTGGAGCTTTCATGGTTCTTCTGAACGACATCATCAGCACAAACTTCAGATAGAAGTGAAGCGTTCGAATTTCTCCACAGGACAAGCTGTGAACTACATATGGAGAAATCCGAACGCTTCACTTCTATCTGAAGTTTGTGCTGATGATGTCGTTCAGAAGAACGATGAAAGCTCCACGACCAAATCATCCAGATCAGAGAACAAAACCTCATCAAAAACTATTGGTTTAGTCCACTTAGAATAGCGGCATCCATTTCAAATAATTTATATTAGAATGCTATTAGTGGAAAACGGGAAATAAAATAAGGAAATATTTTAATCTTACCTTTTTAGTAATATCCAAAGATTTGCTATGTCGATTAATACATACACCACACCCTGTGCATCGATATGTGAATCGTGTATCAATTGTATATGCGTGACAAACAGAAACCACAGGCAGCTTCGGCCAAACTCGATGAACACGGTTAGCCCAAGATTTCCAATGTCTTCCATGACCATCATTTAAACCATTAATCAACCAAACAGCAGCGTGACAAATCTCGTGCAGCAGGGTATCGCGAACGCGCTCAGCTGTGGTGCATACTTTTTCCGATAACAAAATCTGAGCGATACGAACCTATAAGTTGTCACAAGTTGGAAAAAAACGTGGCAATAATGAAGTTGGTTATTATTAAACATTTATCGATTGATGACACATGTTTAAATAATTTATACAACAGGTCAGATTTAAGAACTTTCATCTATCTTTGGCCTATTTGTTGTTTATAATCATATTAAAATTCGGATTGATAAACATCACAATAATATGGGTTAGTATCAGTCAACTGCACTAGTTAGAATGACCATTGAAAATCAGTCAAATGAATTAATGTTTTGTAAGAATATTTAACGAAAGACAATTATACACAAAAAGTTATATTACTTAAAAAGTAAACATTAAGGAATTTAGAAATGGAATGACTGGAAATTTCTTTTTCGAACTTCTTCTGAAATTCAAATAAACCGTGCGACTTGTATTAAATTATATGGTATTTGGTCATCTTGATGGCATTTCTATTTGTCGTATAAGTGCTTTCGAGAAGTTTGAGAAGAAAGATGACAAATTAGTAATTAAGACTCATTCATGCACAGGTAAAGGATTCTCTTTAAAAATTTTTTACTTACACGTAATAAACTTATGTTGGATCAACTAATCACTCAACAGAACACTCAGAGAAAGTAGATAAATAGTAGCTAAATCAATTAAATGATACAGCTTTATTTGAAGAAAAGCTGCATTAATGAGCTGTGATCAAATAAAAGTTCAATCATTAAATTAAAGCCAAACTCACAATCAGTTGCCGTGGCCACAACAACTTATTTACCTAATACAACCTTGTATGTTTGGTTTTGTGATACATTTATCGAAGGTCTGTAAAACTAACATGGCACTCAGACTAAAGCAGACGAAACGGAGTTCTAACCTTCAGACTCGTAGTTGAGAGTATGGAAAATTCCAACGATTAATTTTATGTAGTAGCAGCATAAGGTGACAAGAATGTATTGTGCATTAAACGTTATGTGAAATATAGTCATTATTTTCTACGGATATCTAGGTACCCTCTGAATTTCCAGTGTTAGAATCATGATTTTTTTAAAAAAGTTAACACAAAAAAATGGGTTGACAAAAGGATTCTATATTATTGGCTTTGTATCTATGGTCACAAAGCTTTATGGTCAGAAAGACGAAACGAACTACTGAAACCGCGCTTTAAATAAAGTGTTGGAGCTATCGATTTTAGTACACTGTTTCAGACCAAATAAGAGTATCTACTCGCCAGAGCTTCAGAATCGCATGCCTTTGAAGCATTCATAGAAGAAATTTAACGTGTAAAAATCCTAGAAATAACTAGCGATGAGCAACGTAAAGATGTGAAAAAAGTCTGCAGAAACAAATAACACTAAATAACTGTTTAGACTCATCGGACACACTGAAGTTAAGAAGTCAACGGTTTGATAAATTGTCAATGAGAAAGGTGAAACCTTGTTTTTCTATTAGACAAGGTGACTGAAAAAATGAGTGGGTTACTTCTAGAAACAGTCCAACTAATCTTCATCTAGTCTACAAATACTCACCACTAACTAAGTTTGTAAGAATTATTCACGCCGAATTTCCGACTCACAGAAGTCTAAAAAGAACTAACCAACTTGAAGTTAGTAAGATTAGATCCTCTTAAGCCTTCTGACCACTTAGAATAACGTAAAAATGTCCGTAATGAGTATCTTTTATTCTAAACGTAAATATTTGCTTAAAAACTAGTTTGCATCTACCCCTAGTTTGATCATAAGGAGTGCAGCAGTCAAGCCCATTTACTACCTCAGTCATTCTGGAAGTTTCACCAGACTTGGTGGGTTGGTAGTTGATAAAAAAAATGGACAGTGATACAATCTTTGATTGCATGTTTTTCCTTAAACCGTATTTCTCATCTTTAGCTTCAGATTAATTTTGATATTTTCCCTTCACTGTTTTTTAGATCAATTGCATTCTTTATTTTTCGAACTCCTTGAGAGCGCAAACCCTCATCTGATCAAAGAAAACAAAGCGCACATCAACGTATAATCTTGTTTAAAAAGTGAGATATAAATAAAGCTAGAGTTTCAAAGTTGTACCTGATTAGATGTTCCGTTTGAATGAGTGGATGTACGCATCATGTACTTGCAAAGACCAGCAGTTTTCAATAGTCGACGACTCCATATAATCTCTAACTTTGGTGGTAACTGTGGATGAACATAAGTAGTGAGTAAAGATGATATAGCAGATAAGTAGGATAGAATAGAGGAAATAAATAAACAGTAGTGAAATAATTGAATCATAGTGACTAATTTAGGATCGTCAACGATTGGTTTCAACCACCAGTGTCTATCATCAAAATAAAGTACTCAGGGGATTAGCATCTTTCTACAAAATTCAGGCTGTATGGAATGATGCTAAGTTGTAGCATATTATACTTTAGTCATGTCAGTTTGGTTTGAATCCATTTACCATGATTGTCGGGGGTGTACAATGGATTAGAATCCTTGGCTCATAACCCAACCAATTCACTGAGAACTGGCACACAACATCATCGACTGGTTGCCTTCTTAAGAATGTACGCCGTAATTACAAGTTGGTCCATTAATAGGTGAGAAATGCTCTAAAGACATTGATTATTAAATAACTGTAGTATACATGTAAGCTAAATGTAAGCAGAAAACTGAATTTTCAACATTTTGAGGTTTCGTATAAGTCGCTTAACTCCGCCTGTAGCCTGGGCGTGCACAGACCAAATTGCAACACTACGGATCATCGTCGAACAATCAGTTGAATGGAACTCATCACTATACATCAACTTCATTGATTATGAAAAGGCATTCGACAGTGTGGATAAGTGGACGTTATGGAAACTTCTTTGACACTACGGAGTTCCTGGGAAGATGGTCAATATTATCCGCCACTCATACGACGGACTACAGTGCAAAGTAGTGGATGGAGGAAAGCTGACAAATGCATTCCAAGTAAGGACCGGACTCAGACAAAGCTGTCTAATCTCTCCCTTCCTCTTTCTTCTGGTGGTCGACTGGATTATGAGGACCTCGACATCTGAAAGAAAACACGGAATACAATGGACAGCTCAGAATCAATTAGACGATTTGGACTTCGCAGATGACCTAGCCCTACTATCACGTACACATGAACAGATGCAGATGAAGACAGCCAGTGTAGCAGCAGTCTCTGCATCAGTAGGCCTCAGCATACACAAAGGGAAAACTAAGGTCCTCAAATTCAAAGCGGAAAACAGCAATCCAATCACTCTTGATGGCGAAACTCTGGAAGATGTAGAGTCCTTCACATACCTAGGAAGCATCATCGATGAACAAGGAGGTTCAGATGCAGACGTAAAGGCGAGGATTGGCAAAGCAAGGGTGGCATTCCTACAATTGAAGAACATATGCGACTCAAAACAACTTTCAATTAATATCAAAGTGAGGATCTTCAATACGAACGTCAAGGCACTTCTACTGTATGGAGCTGAAACTTGGAGAACTACAACAACCACCATCATCAAACATGTACAAGTATTTATAAATAGCTGTCTTCGCAAGATACTCAACATCCATTGGCCGGATACCATCAGCAATAGCCTTCTGTGGGAGAGAACAAACCAACTTCCAGATGAAGAAGAAATTAGGAAAAGACGATGGAAATGGATAGCATATACATTACACAAATCGTCAAACTGCATCACGAGGCAAGCCCTAACTTGGAATCCTGAAGGGAAGCGAAAAAGAGGAAGGCCAAAGAACACATTGCGTCGGATAATAGAAGCAGATATGAAAACAATGAATTACAACTGGACGGAGCTAGAGAGGATTGCCTAGGACAGGGTTGGATGGAGAATGCTGGTGAGCAGCCTATGCTCCTTCACGAGAAGTAACAGGCGTAAGTAAAAAGTATAAGTCGCTTGTTTCAAATCAATAAATGAGCAACCAAATTACATCAACACAAATAGTAAAAATGTCAGATACTCGGTTTTTTACTCATGACTCGACCGTAGCAGCTACATTGACGCGGTGGTCGGGCTTGTCTATCGTGATGACCCAACCGAGCTACATTGGCTGGAACATATGATCCTGTAGGTTCTACCATGCCAGGCAGGTCGATTGGAGAACGGTAAGACTAAAAGCAGCAACTCAAGGACTGAGGGCGGAGTCGTACTGCTGACTGTAGAGAAGTGTGACAGAAGTAAAGTGTTTCCCTCTGACAACCAGCATCTACAGCGATGCTGCCTTCTCACAAGGAAGGACGGGGTTAGAAAAGGTCGATCCTTAAAATGTCACACCTCACCTTATCTCACGGATTTCCGTCTCCGGATGTAAGGCCCTTTGAAGAACGGAGCTAACACGTCAAAAACCTTCCACAAAAAGGCCGTGCGCGACCGGTCACGCTCCCAGGTCGTTAACGCTGACATTAATCCGACTTACTTTTCAGGTTCCTCAAGAAATACCTTCTCACGGTTTGGGCAGCCGGGAAGTGATATCAGCCCTCATACCCGTAACAGCACACGAGAACAAGTTGGTCACATTCAAATCCTTCCTACACCTCCTAATACTACTCTTGTCTCCCCGACTATCGTCCTTTTTTCACCTCGCACCGCTAGGGCAAACGATTTCAGTACGCGGAACGTTATTCCTTGTCTCCTGAAACCACGCTCTAAACTACACGTAGGAGCTATTAACGTCCGAACACTGTGCCAAATAGGACAACAGGCTTCCTTAGCTAGGACTTTAGAATCTCACGCCATCGATGTGTGCTGCGTCTCCGAAACGCGCATACAGGATCCGAGTAGCGTCATTCATTTGACCTCACCATGCCAAAATAAAGAACCGACTCGATTCACACTTCGTGTATCTGGAAGCCCAGATTCTGCTTCCCGCGGCCTCGCCGGCGTAGGTATAGCATTGAGTCCTAGGGCAGAACTAGCTCTCTTAGAGTGGATCCCAGTAGACAGTCGTTTGTGCGCTGTCCGACTGAACAGAACAGTAAGAATCCGAAAAGATAGGAACACTCGTCGTTGCCTCTTCGTCGTCTCTGCCTATTCTCCCACTGACTGCAGCTCAGATGATGTAGAAGATGAGTTTTACAGAAAGCTCTCCGACCTCCTCCTTAAAGCTAGGCGTTCGGATGTAGTAATAATGGCCGGCGACTTTAATGCTCAAGTAGGTAAACTAAGCGATAGGGAAAGACACCTGGGTGGATCTTATAACATCGTGGCTCAAAGAACAGATAATGGCGACCGTCTGTTGCAGCTATGCTCAGATAACCGCCTCTTTCTTGCAAATACTAACTTTAGGCATAAGGAAAAACATCTTTTAACATGGAGACCCCCTTATTCGTCCCAACGTTGGACCCAAATAGATCACATCGCTATCAGCCACCGATGGAGGGGCTCGATAGAAAACTGTCGCTCATTCTGGAGCACATGCCTAGATTCAGATCATGCTCTAGTGCGAGCGCGTATTTGCTTGCGTCTTACTGGACGTAGGAAAGATCCTGCAAGGAAGCCTCTTAGGGCACTTCAATAATACTTCGACGCCTAACTAAAGCTCGTGAAGAGCAGATTAGAGAAAACCAGGCCGGTTTTCGACCTGGACGTGGTTGTATAGACCACATATTCACACTACGTCAGGTTCTAGAACACAGACACACGTTCAGACGCCCCACAATCGTAGTACTTCTCGACCTTAAGGCGGCATTCGACTCTGTTGATCGTGAGGTTCTGTGGCAATGTTTGTCACTGAAAGGAGTACCAGAGAAGTACATTAACCTTGTAAAGCCTTTCTACTCGAACATAACTGGTCGAGTGAGAGCTTATGGCGAACTGTCATCAGAATTGATCACCTCAAGTGGTGTTCGTCAGGGCTGCCAACTCTCTCCATTCTTGTTTAACTTTGTCATTGACGTACTTTTAGAGATAACACTTTCCTCATCTAAATTTCCACGGGTTGAACTTCTACCAGGAGATTCACTTGTTGACTTAGAATATGCCGATGACATAGTTTTATTTGGTGAAGACGCTGACAAAATGCAGAGTCTTCTGACCACTTTAAGCAACAATGCAGGCATGTTCGGGATGCGATTCTCGCCCTCGAAATGTAAAATGTTGCTTTAGGATTGGGTTGCATCGACACCCGAACTAATGATAGGAAGTGAAGTAGTTGAGCGTGTCGACCGCTTCATTTGTCTTGGAAGTCTGATCAGCCCTTGTGGTTTGGTATGTGACGAAATCTCAGCACAGATACAGAAGACTCGACTAGCTTTCGACATTGATGGCATAGGCGAGATATCCGTCTATCAACCAAAGGACGTGTTTACTGCGCAGCAGTTCGTTCCGTCCTACTTTATGGCAGTGAAACATGGCCGGTAAGAGTAGAGGATATTCGTAGGTTACAAGTATTTGATCATAGGTGTCTTCGAAACATTGCTCGTATATCCTGGCACCATCGAGTAAGTAACGCAGTTGTTAGGAAACGGGTACTAGGTAAGGATGGCAAATCCATTGATGAAGTAGTGAAACTTCATCAGTTGAGATGGCTGGGACACGTGTTACGTATGCCCAACCACCGACTGCCTCGACGTGCTATGTTCAGTGGTATAGGAGTAAGTTGGAAGAAAGCTAGGGGCGGCCAGACCAAAACATGGCACAAGTCCATGAAGTCACTGACAAGTGGACTGAGTCATGTTGGTAGGTGTAGACTACCTGGTTGGGGACCACGAGATGATAGCAACCGATGGTTAGAGACCCTGAATGACATGGCTCAAAATCGCTTGCAATGGCGCAGATGCATCCACTCTTTGTGTTCTCCCAAGTTTTGATCTCCTTATTCCTCCTTGTCTCTTTTTTTCTCTTCCGAAATTTATTTCACTGGATTATACTCTATAAATAACATCTCCAAACCCTAATCTTCCCGATTACTGCTTATACTCTTACTACCTCTACCACTACGGGATTTGAATCGACAAGTGCATCTCTGTGCTAATGTGGTATGGCAACTCGAACTGATGTACATATGTACGAAGTTCTACGTTGTTACTGACTTTCTACGGATTAAATATATATATATATATATATATATATATATATATATATATATATATAGGTGTTGAAAGGTCTTACTTGGTTAGAAAATATCTTTTCATTGAAAATTTGGTATAATTTTTCAGCTAATTCAGATCGATTTGGCTTAAACTTTTGAACAAATCTGTAACATTGATAGCAAAAAATAAATAAGAGGTTAGTGCTAAACATTTACGCATCTCTCAACCTGCAAAAATTAAACAAGAAATTTAGAACTTAGTAATCACATGCGAATTCACGAGACTAATTAGATATCATAATTTTTATGCATGAAATGAGTGATAATTATTCATATGGAGCGTCATTTATCACTGCTTAATGAGATCATGATTATATTATCTGCTTGCTTGAGAGAAAATAACTGGAGTGGCTTTGGATTTATGATCTAACGGTCAATTTCTTATTTCAAGTTCCATTTATGTTCTCCATAACATAATGTGGCTGTCCAAACAATCAGGTTAAACAATTTTAGACTAACCAAACAATCTAGGATATTGAGCGATAGCCATCCACCAAACAATATAGAAACTTCGATTAACACGTAACACCTACCTAGTAAACGATACCGAAAATAATCGCCATAATTTAAAAATAAACATCGAAACGCACTTTGAAAAGGTCACTACTTATACGAAACATGAAAATAGCATCCAGCTATTTAATAATTTTACATAGTGCCTGACGTTTAATTTGGATATCGTCCATTCACCATTTCCTTTACATACAGCCAGTACGTTTAATGTGGCATGCGAGGTATGTTTAAACAAAAGACAAAGAAATTTGAAGGAAACCCATAGTACTTCCGCATTAATGTCTGGGCACCCGGGCAGTATCTCAGCCCGCACACCAAAACATGATGAACTGTCTACTTCTGAAAAATATTCCTCTCGCTCCAAATAACAATCAAGTGACTCGCATTATTATTATTTACTACGTCATTATTCATCCTCTTTTATTTCCACTCTGTTTATACTTATTTTTTCGACTTATACAGCAGGTCGACTTTGGTGGAAATTCGACTGTATCTAAACGTTCTCGAGTCACTGTCCGGTTGAAAATTGTATGTTACCACTGAATATGAGTACTGAAGCAGTTTTTCTGAAACCACGTGCACCATTCAAACTGGCTGCCTTCAACGTTCGCACACTTATGCACGTTGGACAACAGATAGAGCTGGCTATGTCCTTGCAGTCTTAATATCGATGTTTGCTGTCTATCCGAGACCCGTATTCAAGACTCTGGCGAAGTACTACAAATTCGCTCTCCATATGTCGCTTCGAAAAGCTTGTTTTACGTGCGATTATCCGGGGACCATGTGGCATCTTCGTCTGGTCTTGCTGGCGTTGGTGTCGCACAAAGCGCTAGAGCCGAGGCAGCACTAACCGATTGGATCCCCATTTACAGTCGGTTATGTGCTGTTAGATTAGAAAGTTCCATCAAAGTGAGAAAAAATCGGCGTGAGAAACGATGTCTTTTCGTCGTCTCCGCCTATGCCCCGACAGATTGCAGTCCGGATGCAATCAAAGATGAGTTTTACCACCAGTTATATGTTCTTCTCCAGAAAGTGCATTCGACAGATATTTTAGTACTAGCCGGAGACTTGAATGCTCAGGTCGGGCGTCTAGGCACAGAAGAGGATTGTTTAGGTGGTCGATGGGGACTTGTTGGTCGCAGGACAGATAACGGGGACCGTCTACTGCAACTGCACAGACCACAACCTGTTTCTAGCTAGCACTAACTTTCGGCACAGTCAACGCCAATGTGCCACCTGGCGTCCTCCCTCTGCATCTCAAGCCTGGACTCAGATTGATCACATCGCGATCAGCTACCGCTGGCGTGGTTGTGTACAAGAATGCAGCTCCTTTTGGAGTACCTATCTGGACTCTGACCATGCCTTGGTCTGCGCCAATCTTACCTTACTTTTCAGTGGACAACGAAGTGACCGCCATCAACGGATTGATGCAAGCAAGCTGGTTGCAACTTCTGTTGCTAGTAAGTATCGAACCGAGCTAGTTTCTAGGCTAGCTACCATTCTACCGAAAAGCATAGATGAGCATTGGTTGCAATTGCATGACCCCGTCAAAATGGCAGGTACAGTCAGTTGTGGGTTCGCGAAACGTCCCGCTTATAAGCACTGGCCTTCCTCAGGCTCCTTACAACTCATTGAAGCCCGTCGGTCTACTCCGGGTGACCGTGAGTTTGACCATAAACGAAGGATGTTACGTAAGGAAATTGGGCAAAGCTTGCGTAAGGACCGAGAAGCCTGGTGGTCGAAGCGTGCTAATGAGCTGGAAGCAGCAGCTGCATCTGGTAATTACCGGAAGCTCTTCCAACTCATCCGAGCCACTGGCAGCAAGAAGTCTGGTGTGGGCGAAACAATCTACGAGGATGATGGGATGCCAATCACTAACATCCATCGACGTCTTGGACGGTGGGCAGAATTTTTCGAAGGGCAGTTCAACTGGCCTGCTGCTCAGGCAACATCGGTCAGACTGTCATGCCCTCCATGGCCGGTGACGAATGATCCACCAAATGAGGCGGAAGTCCGCAAAGAACTCCAACCCTTCAAGCGCTACAAATCACCTGGCCCAGATGACTTACCTCCGGCTCTTTTTAAAGATGGTGGTGACTTTCTGACTAAGGAACTGACGACGTTGCTTACAAAGGTCTGGGAGCTCGAGAGTGTACCAACGTCATGGAATGAGTCGATAGTTGTCCCTATCTTTAAAAAGGGTTCACGTCGTTCCTGCAACAACTATCGGGCGATAAGTCTACTTCCGATTGCCTCCAAGCTATTGGCTTCCGCCATACTTCGTAGGTTGTTTAAAACCCGAGAAAGATTGACTCGCGAGGAGCAGGCTGGGTTTCGTTCTGGTCGAGGATGTATTAATCATATCTTCACCCTCCGCCAAATGTTAGAACACCGCCATACTTATCAAAGGCCAACAATCGTAGTGTTTCTTGACATCAGGGCTGCCTTCGATTCGTTGGATAGGACTGTTCTCTGGGATTGTCTATTGAAGATGGGTGTGCCTGAGAAGTTTATTAACATCCTAAAAGCCCTATATACAAACACCTCAGGCAGAGTGAGGGCATACAACCACCTCTCTCCATTGTTCCATTCGAACAGTGGGGTTAGGCAGGGTTGCCCAATCTCACCATTCCTCTTCAACTTTGCCATCGACGACATTCTGGAAACAGCTCTGATGGATGTAAGTAATGGTTGTGTGGATCTGTCGCCTGGAGAAAGACTTCTCGACCTTGAGTATGCGGATGATATTGTCTTATAGTGCGAGAATGTCCAAGGTATGCGATCCGCACTTAATCAGTTGGAAATCAGTGTCCGTAGGTATGGTATGTGCTTTGCACCTTCGAATTGCAAATTACTTCTACAAGACTGGCAGGATTCTAATCCTGCACTCACCCTGGATGGTGAGCAGATAGAAGTAGTCGAGAAGTTCGTGTATCTAGGTAGCTGCATAAGTGCTGGTGGTTGCGTGAGTGATGAGATCAATGCACGTATAGTGAAAGCCAGAGCGACTTATGCCAATCTGGACACCTTTGGCGCCTTCGTGGTGTTAGTCTGGCTGTAAAAGGTCGGATCTATAAGGCGTCGGTGAGAGTGGTTTTGCTCTATGCTTGTGAAACCTGACCTCTCCGAGTTGAGGATGTTAGACGACTCTCTGTGCTCGATCATCGTTGTCTCCGGAGGATTGCTGAATGAGTTTTTGTCTCGTATTGATTGTTGGTCTGTTGGTAATGGTCTCATACTTAATCCGTCTAAATGTCATGCTGTTAACTTTAGCATGAGACATGAACGGAATCTAAACACCATTTTGAGATCCCATAGTGCTTGTACCATCGGAGACTCTTCGATAAACTCAGTGTCGAAGGTCAATTATCTTGGTGTCACCTTTTCCTCTGATCTGTCTTGGTCTTCCCACGTTTTATCGTTATCGAAGAAGATTTTCCGTCTGACCTACTACATAAAGAGATTGCATGCTCTTGGAATTACTCGTCATTTACTCTTACAATTTGTCAATTCTTGCATATTACCTATTATTCTTTACTGTTCTCTATTATTCTTTCCCGGGCTTTTGAGAAAAGACTTTGCTGTATTGCGAAGAGTGCTGAAGGCAGTTAGCAAGATGTGTGGTGAATCTTTCGAGGTCATAATTAATATGGTTGTGGATAGACATTTAAAATCATGCAAACTCCTGGCAGGTGTCATTTTATCAGATACCAGCCATCCCCTCCACTCTTATCTTTCTCCTTGTATATCTTCTGGTAGAACGAGACGTAATTACATTAAAATCCATGCACGCAAGGAAAAGTATAAAAGTTCTATAATACCTTACCTAGCAAATATACTCTGTGGCGAACAGGTTGTTAGAATTAACCTAGTCACTAACTTACATTCTTAACATGTCTTTAATTTTAAAAAGTTTGTAGTTTTTTTTGTTTTTGTTTTTTTATTTTTTAAAAACCTTTTTAATTTCTTTTTGTTCGTTGTTCAGTAAGTAACTTGTTGAAATACCCTGTGCTGAGAATTCTATATTGTACCAAAAAGATAATATTGAATAAAGCCATTAATAATAATAATAATAATCCAGTGGTAACACCATGTTAGGAATGCAGAGGTTTAGCATCGTGTGTTCGGGAACAGAGACGATAATGCAATCGATGTCACCATCTTGAAACACCGACTTCGGTGGCTTGGACATGTTCTACGAATGTCGTCACAGAGAATTCCACGTCGTGCATTATTTGCCGACTCTGGGACTAACTGGAAAAAGCGGAGAGATGGTCAGTGTATGACATGGTGCCGTGGTATGAAAGTAGGCTGCAAAGGGCTGGCTTGTGTTGGCCCTTCACGACTCCCTGGCTGGGGTCCGAGAGATGGTGCAACACAGCCGTTAGAGACGTTATCAGATATGGCTCAGAATAGAAGCCAGTGGCGATCCTGCTGTAACCTTCTTTTACTTTCTTCATAAAAAGTGTTTGTATCTTACTTAACTGAAAGATTTCTTCTGATTGTACCTTTCCGTTCCCCCATTATTATTATTACTACACTACCTTACACCAACCTCTTCGTTATTGTTCTCTTTTTTTGCACTCCTTACCTTTTTTTTTCTTCCTCTTCGAATTCTCATTGTTTTGTGTGGCGCATATATATTGGCGCTCTCTTGTACCAATATTTATGTGTTCAAATAATTAAATAAAGAAAGAAAGAACAACTGCTTGAGGTCGGTCACACACGACGTAGTTGTGAGTAAATTCCGTGTTCGCTCCGTACCTGCTGAGACCTTACCTCCGAAGACGAATAAGCATGGGATAAGGCGAGGTGTGCATTTTTAGAGTGGATCTTTTATAACCACACCGCTCATTTATGGGAGGGCAGCACCGCTGTTATGCTGGTTGTCTGAAGGAAACAACTTACTGCTGTCACATCTCTGTAAAGTCAACAGTACGACGTTGACTTCGGACCTTAGGTTTGCTACTTTTAGTCTTACTGCTCTTCAAACGACCTGTTCGGCATGGTAGGACCATGAGGAACAATTGTTCCAGGCACGACCACCACGTCAAAGTAACAGCAACAGTCGGATTGATATTAGCATTAAGAAAAGTAACTGTTAGAGTTTAGCTCCGCCAGAACGACTTCAACATTAGTTTTATACGGTGATATTCCGAAAAGTAGGTACTTCTAAAACTAACTTTACAAACCCGGATACATACAAAAGTCATCAGTAACAATAGATAGGTTTTTTAAATTCTGGAGATATCAGTTAAATTTATTTGCCATTTGGAATAACATAAGATCATTAACTACATAACTAGATGGAATCCGAAAGTGTGCATTATGTCCTTAGCCTTCCAAATATTTACAAGGTCATTCAACCGACCAGACTAAAGGCGACCTACAATCTTCCAAATATATTAAAAAGAGATATATAGTAATTAGAACATTAACGATTTTTGTATTTCTGTTTGTCACAAAGATTTAGACTAACCTGATATTAGAAAGGATTACAAGCATTATAATCTAGCTTTCTAAGAAACAGCGAAATTTTACTGCCGGACAGAGTAAGGATAGTAATCAAAGGTAACATGACGGTAGTAAGTATCAAGATAGCTTACTTTAACGCATCAGGATGACGAAGTTTCTCGTGTGATGTCTGCTTCCTGTTATCATTATTGTCAACTGGATAAAGAGAATAAACGAATTCCTCCGTAGATACACAATGCGAATTACGCTGTTCTATCTTATATGAAATTTTCTGATATTTGGAAATATGCGGATACTTTGAAACTTGAACAGCACATGACTGAGTTTTTCTATCTGGAACAACATATTTTTTCTTAGAATCAGAAAGTTTCGATTCTGATGATCTTGATCTGAAAAGCAAACGAATAACAGTTGCGTATATATAAATCAATTCACAGAAACGTATTAAAGTACCCAACTACGATACATTAGAACGATCTTAACACTCAAATTGAGTATCCGCAAATTAACTGAATATGAGTAAACACAACGAGTCACGTACATATGAATCTGAATAAATGTGTGAACCATGCTTGTTCTTGGAAGTGCAAACCTGATTACCAAAACTGAATGTGAATCAGTCCTGAATCATTGACACAATAACTGAAAATAGAATACCCTAGCGTTGTAACTGCAGATATTTACATACAACTTAGAGCTCACTTCTGTAAAACCCTGAACCAGACAACCCAAATGAGAACACAAAGACAATGAGGATCTACATGACACCCAAAATATATCAAAAATCAATAGGTGAATACACTAATTTTTATATGGTGTAGTTCTTATGAACGAAAATGAATATTTAGACGAGCCGATCGCTTTATTATATGATAAAAGAAAATTTCAAAAATGAAATCATGGAAGCACTAAATAGCCATTTAGTCCAAGTATGGGAATCCTCAGCCGTACACATTCACAACCCAACGCACGAGACTCAAACTAGAGAACTTCGGCCACGCGCACAGACACTTAACCTCAAGACCACCGTGCCAGAATCGAATAGTGTCCATAGCATTAGAAAATAGGGATGAAAAAGACAATTTACTAAACAAATTGAATAACATTCATCCATCAATTACATCCACTCGTTTAGAAAAACGGGGTAAAAGCGAAACATTTTTAGACAAGAAGATTGGATGTGTCATTTAAGAGGGACGTACAAAGCAATCAGAGATTGGTCAATATACCCATTTTACACTTCGGTACCAATTAAATATAAAAGAAACTCAATAGAAGTCTTTATTTATCATGCTGAAATGGTTTGCTTCGATGACATTATCGAAAATGAATTAAATAATATCTATAGAATTCTTGGTAAGAATGGTTTTCCTGATAAATTCATCAATGAACCTATAAACGAGACAAAAATCAGACCGATGATTACGACCATTCAGATTGGGTTACAGCTCATAAGTGAAGCTGTGAAATGCTAACACAAAGGTTAAGAAAAGCTGTATAGAAAACATTCACTGCACCCAAGCTAAATGTGATTTCTTACAATTATTCGATATTATTTTTATAATCACTTGTGATATAATAAAATAATATAACACCACTACTCGATTAATATGATCTTATTATTGTAAATTACAAATATATTAGTCTACAGCCGTAATGATGAAGAAAAATATTCCTTCTCCTGTTTATCTTTTCAATAATTTTTATATGATGTATATTGATTAACAATCAGGTTTTCATTGATAACTTAATAAATATAAATATATAGTATCATGAAATTAGCTACCTATGATCAACAGATATAATTAATATTACTCTTTCTTAAAATGTGATTAAAATTAGTCTCATTAAAATGAATAGTAGTTCACAACTATAAAGAACTTGTTTTATATTATAGGCTATTGAAAGATTGTTTCTGAGTGGTTAAGTTTCTAAGTGATCAACGTTGAGAACGCTATATGGTTTTAGGAAGATATATCATTTGATAACCCAATCCTCATCGATTTATGACTATTTACCGTTTACTAAGACTAGGGCGATTAGGATGAAGAAAAAGATAAAAACCAAACAGTGCAACTGTCCATAGATCAATTGGATGTTAATCGGAGTCGTTTAGGGAAATGTAGATGGCCTCAGTAGAACACTCAAAATATCAAGAATCGCTTACTTTAGGCCTTAAATTATACAGACCGAAGTTTAACACCATGGTCCAAATAATACTATTCTTCATTTTTCTCGTAATTTTACGAACAATTGTTATGCCATATTTATTCATTACTTGTCTACCAAACAAAGTGTTAGCGGGACATAGACTAGATTAAAGCATGCTCAATGCATGATTGCTTTGGTGCACGCTGATTGGCTAATTCTTATCCAATCAGCACTGGTCGATAGTTGGAGAAGACTCTAGAATCTTCTTATGTAAAAACTATAAATATACTGACGTTTTCCCTATTGTGCTTCCTACTGGCTTCTGACTTGCTATTTGGAATATAATCTCTTTCCTGTTCAACCGTGTTTTGATTTGGGGACTTGTCGAGTGAATCGGTGTCCAAGAATACAAAGCAATAGGAATAGCTGGGTCATAACCGTAAGAAGAAAGAGATTATAACAGTGGCGACGGGGAAAAACTAAAGAAAAATGGCGATTTCTTTAGAACAGTTGCGGTTAATATTACAGCACCAGCAGAAGTTGTTAGCCTTGCAACAACAACTATTGAACACACTTTTCACTCGACCAGAAAATAAGAAATCTGTTTATGATGCAGTAACAGATATTTCAGAATCATATCTAGTGGAGGGTTCAAATCCCTTTATACCTGAATCAGAACGTAATATTTGTAACGTTTCCGGCTCACAGCAAGAAAATCCTGTGCTGAATGCTCATAAAGTTGTGGCAATACGATATTATCAAGAGCCAGACCCTGTAGATGAAGCCCGGAGTCCAGAATTGAATGAAGCACTACTGGTCCTGTCTAGCTCTGAAAATAACTTTCAGCTAGAACAAATTTATGGTCCACGTGATATTAGCCAAGAAAGCTATGGGGACTCATATTCAGAAAATAACTGCAGTGACACAACGAACCCAATTATACCGAATGTTACTCAAAATCATTGTGAGACAGAAACTTACATTGAATCAGCTTATCCGATTTCTAATGACAATGTATCAGACATGGGTTCTCAGAACAATGCATGTTATTTTGATGGAATTTCTCATAAAAATCAGGAAAATATATCAGCTGAGTCAAATTATGGTCAAAAGTCTAATTTAATTTTGTTAGATGATGATTTCCGTAATGATCCATTATCCACTGATGAAATTCCTAATGGATTTGAAAGTAATGCTTCAGAAGAATTAAACTTTGACCTCAAATCAAAGGTCGTTCATTATCATCTAGTCGTTTCTAGTGGATCCGATATTCAATGCAAGAAACGTCGTTTAAATAAAGTCCTATTATTTGTAACTTGGAGATATAAGGATCCGACATTGTTTCGCGGAGGAGGAGAATGTTGGAGAATTAAAAGTTATGCATACTTTTTTTAAAAAAAAATCAAAACGCCGGGAACAGACATGTCAGTCTCTGTGCAAGGAAAAAGTGATAATGCTTCATTGCCTAGACGATGGACTAATCGAAAGCACAAGCCAGTCACTCAGTCGCAGTTGGACCCTAGCACCAGATCCTACGAATCTGCTCAGAGGGGAGGTGTTAGCGGGACATAGACTAGATTAAAGCATGCTCAATGCATGATTGCTTTGGTGCACGCTGATTGGCTAATTCTTATCCAATCAGCACTGGTCGATAGTTGGAGAAGACTCTAGAATCTTCTTATGTAAAAACTATAAATATACTGACGTTTTCCCTATTGTGCTTCCTACTGGCTTCTGACTTGCTATTTGGAATATAATCTCTTTCCTGTTCAACCGTGTTTTGATTTGGGGACTTGTCGAGTGAATCGGTGTCCAAGAATACAAAGCAATAGGAATAGCTGGGTCATTAACCTGTAAGAAAACAGGATTATAACACAAAGAAATATCATTGGTCTTTGAAGTCATCCACTACTTAACTGGATTTTTTTTCAAGAAGCGTAGACCTCCTTTTTCAACTTCGGTAGATTATATCAATCTGTGGTTGGTAGCTTTACATAATGTGTAGCAAAGTCGGTAGTAATGAAAAGTCTTAATATTATTTACTACTTTTATTCGCCAGTTTCATATACCATTCTCCAGCTATGTTCGTAGTTGTTAGGTTTCATCAATGTCACTAGTATATTAAGCTTCTTAGCTAATCAAATTATTCTTGCGTTAAGAAACATGAACGGAAAGATATTTGTAATGATTCTTGTAGTGTTTATCTAATGATTTAGGTCAGGTAAGTTTGCATTTGTAAAAGTATTAAAGTATGTAATAGAATGCTAAAACAACCATACACCGCAATAACGGTTTAATGTCCTGATAGCCAATAAGAATTGTTCTTTAGCGATGTATCTTTAGAAATCTACAATATTTTTGAAGATTATGCACATGGAGGCATTTTGTTAGAAGGCATCGCAACAACATTCCAAAATGGTCAACATATTTGAGTTCATTAGTTCTCTGTTGTTCGTGATGCTCAAGAAAAACGACCGTAACCACAGTCGGTGGACTTAAGTTCAAAACTGCGACCTACTGGTTAAAAGCCGATGAGTTTAGAAAGCAAGCCACCGCTTCACTTGAGAGATAATGGGATGAAGTGCATACATGTAGCATTTAGCTTCCACTGAACACCTTGCAAATAAAGAAGGCGTCTTGTTATACATCAATGCCCATCATTACTACTACTAACCCAAGCAAGTAATACTGGTATCCCAACGTTTGTTTCAAACAACAGCTTGATAAATATCAGTTCCAAGAAAATACACCCAATATTATAGAACATAACTATAGTAACAATTATTATGAAGGATAGTCATATTAACTACCTGGAGATTAATAAAACAGGAGGTCTAACAGAGACGAAATATCATATGATAATAAACATGAGACTTTCTGTTAACTAAACAACTTACGGTAATTTTGTGGTATCAGACAAATGCAACTTGTTGTTGACTCTGTAGTAAAACGTTTGATATGGCGAATCACAACTCGACCTATCATCGTCATCAGAATCCCAAGATGACCATTCACTGACTTGATTAACCTCAATTTTGTTTATCTTGGTTTGCTGGGATTTCAAAAAGTTTTCAAATGCATCATCATCATCACTACTGCTAGCATGTGATTTGATATTGTTAGAACTACGGTTAGCTGTCTGACCAAGTGATTTTTTATTTGAGTCACTAATAGAAATTGACTTGTCTACGTCAGCTTTGGAGGATTCCAGAAACGTTGTAAAGAAATTATCGTCGCTATCACTAGGGATAACATTCTCTTTGGTACTTATATCAACGTTATATTTGAGCACTGATGTAGTTAGTGCGGATGATTGTGCAACGAGATCATCACTGAAAACTGCCTGAGTTATCTTTGGTTCAAAGAAGTTTAAAGATTCATAATCACCAAAGTTGTTACTTTTACAGTAGGAGTTTCCCAGGATACTTGAATTACAATGCGAGTTAGTCTTTAAAAGTGCTTGCATTGGTGACTTTTTATCAGAAGGTGCGCTGGTATTTTCTACAGTGAACGACGAATTTTTTCCTATATCAGATTTTCCGTGCTCGAAATGAAAACTATGTGATTCGTCCAAATGAAGTGTAGAAGGGCGTATTTCACGGGAACTCGTGATCAGATGGTTGCCAGTGCACAGAGGATGTGAGCCTTTTTTCCTTGAACTGAGCTATATGAATAGCGCAATGGTAAGAGAAATAGACTTACGTGTCCAATAATACTCAAGATATCATTTTTGATAGGTGTTCGGTTAAAAAAATCCATTTGACCGTCTAGAATTTTATACGCAGCTAGTATAAAATATAAAGACATTTTGGGAATTAAATTCAAGTAACTATTCAGAAAGCTAAACGAATTAATAAGATATTTTTAGTAAACGATCTACAGGCTAAATAAATTAATTTTTGTCCATCAATCAATCATAGAGATTACATGTAAACGTTAACTAATGAAAACTCCTAGCCTTTGCAAGTACATGACACGTACAACCATTTATTTTTAAGAAACATTTAACCAGATACATGTTTAAAATTCACCAGTTGTACAAATGTCTAAACTGTTAAGAGCTTTATTCCTCTGGTCATACAAGAATTACCATTTAAACAGATATTCTATTTGAGGAATATATAAAATTGAAAACGAACGTTGACCATTTCAAAATGTCAGAACATTTGTTGGTTAAAGTCACCACAGGTGGCGAATTTCCTTTGAATGTTTTTCCGTACTTTTCTTTATTTAAGAATCATATATGCTTCCTAAAAAATGTTCCGAAGATTAACGAACATTTTTAAATTTACCGGCTTTGTGTATATGATAGATTTTTCATTAGTTGGCAGGAAGTCTTCACTTGTTGTTATTGAATAAGAATGCATTACTTAAAAGTGGTAGTTTTCAATTGGTTGGCAGTCCTATTAAACCCTTTTCTAGTAACAGAATCTAGAGCAACTACATAGACCGGACGACTAATACAGAACACCTACCCCATCCAAGGATGACAACGGGACTTTTGTAGAGATTTTGTATATATCGACTAGAGGTAATCAAATAAGTAAGAATTATGACACACACAGTGTTCTATGAAATGGACTAAATAATAGGGATACGCCCACACTGAACCTGCCACTTTAACATGATCAGACGTAGATACTGTAATAACTTGGTCAAACCACACTATCTGGAACTGATACGATGACCAAGGACTAGGCCTAACAATCAAGTTCTAGCTACTTGGAGATTGACTTACAAACTAAATCGCTACAATGGTCGATGACATGGTACCTTGCACATTTTATGTGAATGTTTCGTACATAAGGTCATTTCGTTACATAAAAAATTGTTTCGTTGAGGTCTTTTCCAATCAATCTTCCTTACTAGACTTCTCTTCCAGTAGTCCATGGAACGATCGTTGAAGTGTTGTGTATTAAACCCCCGTCCACTCTATTCAGTTAGTATAGATCTCCTTCCGTTTTAGAGTTTCGGAAACACCGGTTATTCAGAATCATCGTACTTAAAATCAAAATAGGAACACTTATTTCTTTACGTTCTACCATACCAGACAGGTCAATCAAGCAACGCTAAGCAGCAACTTAAGTTTCGAGGGTGAAATCGTACTTCCAACTGTATTGAGATGCGAAGACAATAAGATGTTTCCTTTACATAACTGAGGTCTGCAGTGACTACTTTTTCTCAATAGAAGAAAGAGGTTAGAAAACGTCACGTATAAAAAAATGCACCCTACAGATTCTCGCTCCAGCCAGTAACAAAGTATGGAACTAACCAAAAGTAACCCATAAAAAGGCTCTGTATGATCATCTGCGATTAGTTATTTCTTAAGTGTAATATCACGCCTTTAGATCGATGAGACCACTACTAATAAAGTTTCTCTTTCAAGTTCCTCAAGAACCCCCACTGTGTTACAACTCCAAAATTCACAAACACCGGCACACCCCTAACAAGATATAAGATAATTTTATTTACGATCAAATACCTCCACTACATGATAATTCGTCGATCATTATTACAAATCTTTTCCTATGGTCGCATCTTTTTTCCACGCGCGACCAAAATAAATGATTTAAGTATGGTGCACTTACCTATATATACTGTTGCAGGCTCAAACTAGTTAAGTCACATAAATATTTGCAAGGCAACAATGTCCTACTCCGTCTTCTCGTGACGGGGGCGTTGTTTGCTAACTTGAAAAGCGAATTTGCGGTGCTTAAATCAAATTGGTGAACACGGATCCATATAAGGGGAGTGAAAAATCCTGATTCTAAACCAACTGTGTACATGGGTTGCAAGACTTTGAGGAAACAAATGTGGTGTGAACTCGTTGTTGATCACAGGCTATCATGAGGTCGCATCTCCTAAAGTTCTTGTGGACGAGACCACAAGGTCTTGGGGAGCACCCAGACAGTATTCCACCCCATACACAAATTCAACGATTTATGAAGTGCAAATTTATTTTGATACCCCTTTGTACCAGTATGTGTTTACATAATTTTTAAAAAATACAAGAGTTTATTCAACGTTACTCCTGGTTTCCTGGAGTCGCACTGAAAATTACATTTTCGAGCCAATATCTCAATTTTCGTTCAACTTCCTCATAGACCTACTGCTGGAAATAACGCTCTCGTAAACTGCATTTTAGGGAATTGACCCCCTACCAGGAGGTCCACTTATCGACTTAGAATACGCAGATGATATAGTCCTGCTTAGTGAAGACGCTAATAAAATGCAGTGTTTTGGTAGCTCTGAGCAACAATGTCAGAATGCTTGAGATGCGTTTCTCCTCCTCTATATGCAAGTTGTTACTTCAGGACTGGCCTGCGTCAACACCTGAACTAAAGATAGAGAGTGAAGTAATCGAATACGTCGACAACTTCACTTATCTTGGGAGTCTGATCAGCCCTAACGGGTTGGCGTTTGAAGAAATCTCTGCACGAATTCGAAAAGCTCGTTAGGCTTTTGCCAACTTACTTCACCTATGGCGAAGGTAAGATAACCGTCTATAAATTAAGGGACGAGTATACTAGACAGTAGTTCGTTCTGTTTCACTTTACGGCTGTGAAACGTGGCCATTAAGCGTAGAAGACAATCGTAAGCTACTAGTATTTGGTCACAGTGTTCGCGTTAATTTGAACAACTTCTTATTGAGTTACGAATATTGTTACGGTAGTGAATACTTAGTCTGTAATGTGCATGGTTTAAAGCACATTGCTGAAGAGGTGATTAAACAAGGCAGTCTAGAGTCATTTTCTGCCTTTCCTTTTGAGTCGTACATACGGAAATGAGGCGTTCAGCACACTGCGGATATGCAGCGCCTAAACAAGCTACACAGCGGTATACCGAAGAAGTTCCCTTTCAAAGTCTACTGACTCAAGGCATGTCAGAAAATGTGACTGAGTCTGAGGTAAGTTATGATTTCTCTAAGGAAATCATCACTTGCAGAAATTCAAAACTGTCAACTACTAGGCCTGACAACGCAGTAATTGCAAACGGTCAACCGGGGTTCATCACAAATTACTGATGGAGGCAGGGATGGGTTTAGGGCATTCCATAACCCTTTAGACTTCGTTATTGACCCCTTTCCCTGCAGCACTTACTTATTTACCCCTGTTACTCCTTTTAGAGTATAGGCCGCCCACCAGCCCTCTTCATCCAACCTTGTCCTGGGCAATCCTTTACAGTTGTTATTCATCCTCTTCATATCTGCTTCTATTTCCTGACGTAATGTGTTCTCTGGCCTTCCTCTTTTCCGCTTCCCTTCAGGATTCCAGGTTCGGGTATACTGCACGGCAGTTCGTTCTGTTTTACTTTACGGCAGCGAAACATGGCCATTAAGAGTAGAAGATATTCGTAAGCTACTAGTATTTGACCACAGATGCCTTAGAAATATTGCTGGCGTCTGCTGGGATCACAGGGTAAGTAATAGTGAGGTTAGACGCAGGGAATTAGGGAATGATGGTAAATCAGTTGATGAGGTTATGAATCTTCATCGACTGAGATGGTTGGGCCACGTGTTACGTATGTCTGAACGCCGATTACCACGAAGTGCAATGCTATCCGGTATTGGAGATGGTTGGAAGAAAGTTAGGGGCGGCCAAACCAAAACGTGGCATCAGTGCTTGAAGACTCTAACTTTAGTGTGAGCCATGTTGGTAGATGCAGACTACTTGATTGGGGTCCGCGTGATTTTCGTAACCAATGGTTGGAGACTCTTGGTGACATGTCTCAGAATCTATCACAATGGCGTCGGTGTATACACTACCCGTCTTCCCTTAAACTAAGAGATTAAAATCACTTCATATCTTTCTTTCTACGAACCAATTTTTTCTTCTTGTACTATATCTCTATATGCAATCTTTCTCTTATATTACCACCTTTGACCTAACCACTGCTGTGAATCCGGTGCTCATCTTGTTGTGCTGATGCGGTATGGCAACCTGGACCGATGCACATATGTGCCTGGTCCTACGTTGTAGCTGACTGACTGACGTGATGCAGTTTGGTGGTTTCTGCTATGTATGTCCTGTCCACTTGGAGCGTCTTTTCCTAATTTTGTCTTCAGCTAGAAGCTGGTTTGTTCTCTCCCACAGAAGGCTGTTGCTGATGGTATCCGGCCAATGGATGTTGAGCGTTTTGCGTATACAATTGTTTGTAAACACTTGTAACTTACTGATGATGGTTGTAGTTTTCCACGTTTCAGCTACGTACAGTAGGACTATCTCGACGTTCGTATTGGAGATTCTGAATTTGATAGCGGTTGACAGTTACTAAGAGTTCCATATGTTATTCAGTTGTAAAATGCGACCCTTGCTTTGCCAATACACGCCTTTACGTCTGCATCCGGTTCTTCTTGTTTATCGATGATGCTTCCCAGGTACGTGAAGGACTCCACATCTTTCAGAGTTTCATCATCAAGTGTGACTGAGTTGATGTTCTCCGTATTGTATTTGAGGATCTTGCTTTTTCCTTTGTGTATGTTGGGGCCTACTGATGCAGAGGCTGGTGCTACATTAGTTGTCTTCATCTGCATTTGTTCGTGTTTATGGGATAGGAGGGTTAGGTTATCTGCGAATTCCAAATCGTTTAGTTGATTCTGAGCTTTCCCTCAGATGTCAAAGTCTTCACAATTCAATCAACCATCAGAAGACAGAGGAAGGGGGGAAGTAGACAGCCTTGAATATCCAAGTGTTCAATCGTAAGCCACGAGTGTATGTAGATTAGGCTGGCAGATATACTTTGCAAGTGCATCTATATAC